GCACTGCCCTGCCTGGAGACCCCCTATGTGTGGCCTGGCTGGGACAGGCTGCTTGTGCCCTCAGGGCAGATGCCCGACCCCCGCTGTGTGTCCCTTGCTGCCCGGCACGCTGGCACGAGCTCCGCGGCTCCAGCCTGTGCTGCCCTGGCCCCCCCTCACTCCTTGCTGCTGCAGGGAACCTCCCCGTGCAGGGCCAGAGCCAGCAGGTGCCACCAGGCCTCAGGCCAGCGGCTCTGGGTGGCAGCACCTCTCCGTGAGCCGGCTCTGGCTTTTCCTAGTTGGGACCAGAGGGAAGGAGTGGGTGCGTGAGAGAGCCTGAGCGGGAGCAGGAGTGCGTGCGAGCGCCGGTGTCCTGCAGTGTGCCTTGTCCTGCCCCTTCCCCAAGGACGTTGCCAGCGAGTTTCCTCCCTGTATCTCGGCCCCCAGGGAGGGAGGCAGCAGCAAGATTGGCAACTGCCTCTGCTCACAGCGGTGCTGCAGGTGCCCGTGACCCTGCCAGCCCACAGCTGGACTGATGAGTACTGTTCCTTTGCCTAGATTCTCTCCCTTCAGGCCATCCCAATGGCACCATGTCGTGGTGAGGGTGTCACAGGGCCATGGCGGGGCGTGGGATGTCCGGGGACGCTGCTCACGGTGCTGGGCTACCCAAGTGTCCCATTGACCTGGCTGTGTGGCCGTCTGGGGCGGGAACAGGAGCTGGTGCCGGTGCCAGCACCGCACGTGTGTTTAGCTCCGTGGCTTCCCGGCTGGCAGGTGGCTTGGATTAAGAAATAGATGAGTGGGAGAGGTGCTGGCTGTGCATCGCGGAGGGGCGCGGAGAGCCAGGGAACGGCGTCCGGCTGCGAGGAGCGCCCGGCTCCCGCCTGCGCTGACACACATGCGTGTATCCATCCCCCACACCAAGACCCTCCACATGCCCAGCACTGCGTGTACCCGGAACAACTGGGCTTGGGAGATGGGCAGAGACCCCCCCCCGCCTCCACACACATACACGCGCCACACTCCTGGCCAGTGTGGGCCAGGGCCCCGGTTTGGGGTCCGCATGACCTCGTGCTCTGCTCCGCAGCTGGACCCCGACAACACGGGCTTCATCGGTGTGGAGACCTTCGCCAGCCTTGTGCACAGCCATGAGCTGCCCCTGGACCCCGCCAAGCTGGACATGCTGGTGGCCCTGGCACAGGGCAACGACGAGGGCCAGGTCTGCTATCAGGAGCTGGTAGATCTGGTCAGTGCCAGGGCGACATGGGCTGGGCTGGGAGCGGAGGGGATGGGGGCTGTCCCAGGGCCGAGTTGGCACTGTGAGGGTCCTGTGCCGGGGTGGAGGCGGGGAGGGCAGTGACACACAGAGCCTCGTGGCACAGCCAGGGAGCATCCTGGTGCCGTGGGGCACTCTGCGTGGAACCTATCCCAGGAGGGAGGAAGGGGGCCGGCTGCTCCCTGCATGGTGATGCACACGGGGGAAAGGTGCCCGCGATGCCGCCCTGCTTGGGGTCCCCTTGGCGGGGGGGGGCCCCCGCCCCTCTCC